GCAAAGATGCCTTCACTTTCTAGGAGCATAAGCTTGGGAGACCCCAAGAGCCTAGATGCCATTGGGTAACACACACACTAGCTCGCAAGAATCCTGAATATGCTGGTCTAGTATTTGGTACTATGTACACTTCACTAAAGCATGTGGGTTTGAATGTCTTCAGGATTCCATAGCCAAAGGATAACAATGAAAGGTCGAAATTAGAAGAAAAAGCCCTGAGACAGTATAGAGACATTGGCTGGCCAACTCATCTTGATGAAGGAACCTCACTTCTGTGGGCCTGGTTTCCTCACCCACACGAGAACGGAGATAGTCTCAAAAGTCCTTTCCAGCTCTACCATCCTATGATTCTGCGGGTCAAGATTGTTAAATTTTAAGTACATCCAGAATGTTTTAATTCAGCAACACTTATTGGCCATCTACTCTATGTAAGGCATGGTAGAGAGCACTGTGGGGGCTACACAGCCATTGAACATAGTCTCTGTCCTTGAAAGAGACTAGCTGTAGGGGACAACAACAGTGAGAAGTGTAATCACCATAGAGCTCCAAACTATAAGAAATGTCATGTGATTATCTGTTGAATGAGTGGTGTGTACAATTAGCCCAATGAATGCAGAAATTACTGGAAAGTTTTCATGAAGACTCAAGAAAGAATTTGAGGGAGGGGTAGAATTTGGATACGCTAGACAAGTATTTTTTGTATTGATTACTATTGATTACTAAACAGTGTTACAAAGCTGTTTTCAGTTCATCCAATTCAATGACTCTTCTGCCAATATATACATCAAAAGCTCTAAGGGGGACCAATCTGACAGAACCTGGTCTGACAGTGCCTTGATAAGATTTCCTTCATATACAGAGGACAGAGTGAGACCATAAGCACTGATTATAGCAGTAAACTGCTTCTGCTTCAGGGGTCAAGAGTCACACAGTCATTCTTGCCACAAGGGAAGTCTGAGGACTTTGGCCCCACTAGTGGCCTGCTCAGAAAGCTAAAAGAGAAAGCTGGAAGCCAATTCCAGGAGACAGTGCACTTGTTCCTTTCTCCGGGATCACATTTTATCAGGAAGTTGAATTTGCCTGAATACCTCAATAGCCTTTCAGTAGCTGGATGGCTCCTAGGTTGTCAGTGTCATTCTGTTACAGTGTCCTGACACTTCAGGCCAAGCTAGTAGCTATGTGTTCATCGCACAAGCTGGATAGAGCTTGAGCAGAAAGAAGTGAAAATTGTTCATATGCTCAAAGCTGAAATTGGCAATACACACATTTCTTAAATACCTCACCCTAAGAATTAATTAGAAAATCTTTTTTCTTTAAGCATTATACCATTTTCACTCTGCTTTTAAGTTTAAATACGTTTGCCATGAATACAATTATATTTAAATATAGTAACCTACTGGTAATCTATAATCTCCTTTCGTGTGTATTTGAGTCTTCCAGACAAACACAGAGTTATACAGAATTTCAGGTTCTTGGAGTTGCAAGAGGCTTAGTGAATATTTGGCCAAATTTCTACTCTGTGACAGGGGCCCTGAGAGAGACTCCCCAGCTTCTTCAGAAACACTTCTAACAGGCCAGGCACGGTGGCTCATGCCTGTAATCCCAGCACTTGGGGAGGCTGAGGCAGGTGGATCACTTGAGATCAGGAGTTCAAGACAAGCCTGGCCAACATGGTGAAACCCTGTCTCTACTGAAAATACAAAAATTATTTGTATTTGGCAGGTGTCTGTAATCCCAGCTACCCGGGAGGCTGAGGCAGGAGAACTACTTGCACCTGGGAGGCAGAGGTTGCAATGAGCTGAGATCATGCCACTGCACTCCAGCCTGGGTGATGGAGCGAGACTCTGTCTCAAAAAATAAGTTAAAAAAAAAAAAGGAAAGAAAGAAAAAAGAAACACTCTAACAATACAGAGCTAACTGGCCCCAGGGTGGAACAACCTTTTTTTGTTTTATGTATTCAATCTACTATCTGTCCACTGAAAATTACAGGTCACTCATTTGAAAAGTCTTCTAGAAGATATGTAAAGGCATAATCCAAAAATAAAAGGACATCTGCCAGCACTGCTAACACTGTGCGTTCTTCATTAAGGGGCACCCACATGCCTGACCAGACTCCTCAAGCCATCTGGCTGGCCCAGAGCTGTGCTGCAGGCAGCTATAAATCAACTCACACTTGTTCCTAAGCACCTGCTGCAAGCAGGACCCTGCTACTAAAATGCAGCTCCAGATGTGCCTCAAGAGTTGGACTATCTTCCCACAAGGCAAAAATGCAGCAGCCAGAGGATATGGAGTCTCTACTCCTAGACAATGTAAGGATGAAAATAGATTACCATTTGTCTATTCAGATACCCTCACCTGCCTAAAGGCAGGGGGCTAGATCAACTGATTTCCTGAGGACTCACTAAGTTCTTTTTTCTTTTTTTTTTTTTTGAGACAGTGTCTCACTCTGTCACCCAGGCTAAGATCTCCGCTCACTGCAGCCTCCACCTCCCAGGTTCAAGGGATCCTCCTGCCTCAGCCTTCAGAGTAGCTGGGACTACAGGCGCACAACATCCACACGGGGCTAATTTTTGTATTTTTAGTAGAGATGAGGGTTTCACCATGTTGGCCAGGCTGGTCTCAAACTCCTGACCTCAAGTGATCTGCCTGCCTCGGCCTCCCCAAGTGCTGGGATTACAGGCATGAGCCACTGCGCTAAGTTCTAATATTAACAAAGCAGCCCACATTCTGCTCCCCAAACCGTGCCCCCACTATGTGGTAGACAGGAAATTACAGACATCAAAGAAAAAGGCCGACCAGAAGGAGACTTCATTCCTCAGAGGCATGCTGGTGTACCTTGTACCACCTGTCACTGGCTAGGCACAACGCAGCCACCACCTAAAGTGTCTATGTGTTTATATATGACAGACACACACACACATACACAAGCACGCACATTCACAAACACAAATTCCGCCATTCTCAGTACAAAGTATTCATCACCAGGGTCCTCTCCTCTTTGGTCGCATTTCCACCTCCCCACTCCACTCCTCTGCTAACACATTTACTTCCTTCTCCCCTCTTCTTCCCACTACTCCCTCCTCCAGCCCTATCTTCAAAAATATTTAGTCTTTCACACACACAGCTGGTACTCAAGGAAGTTTTACAAATAACCTCACCCTTCAAAATTCAAGAAACAACCTGGGGGGAGGGGGAAGTCATCATGGTGGAAAACTCAACCTGCCTCTGTCAAACAGCAACGTGGCTAATTAGAAGCTTCATCCCACCAGCGGTTTTCTTCAGAGGCCTGCAGGGGCCTCAGTGGAACAGATTCCAATAAGATTCTTCTGCTGGCTCCCAGATACAAAAGGGGACAAATGGCAATAGCTCCAAATTTCAAGTACCCCTGGCCAGTCAAACCAGAGGTTTCCTGGGCCCAGAACTACCAACTAACTCAAAGCCTGGGAACAAGGCTCATCTCTGTTTGGAATGGTTGCAATAATAAAAATTTAACCATGGGGGTGGGGGTGGGGACAAAAAGAGAAAAAGGGAGGAAGAATGATAAAGAACAGAGGTCAGCTATTCACTTCCAAGAAGACGCAGGGCAGGAATGAGGCAAGGAAAACTTGGAGAGAAGGGTGAGGAGAAGGAAAAACGATTTTTAATACTAGGAACTTATGCCTGCCTGACTACACATGCTCACTGGTACCACACACAAGCACGTGCATGCACACATGCACGCACACACCCTCAGTCAGGAAACTCAAACTGGAAAGCAAGTAAGAAGCCTTCAGCAACCTGCCTGACTTCGCTAAACACTTCACAAAGTCAGCAGTAGCGGCAGCAGCAGCAAAAAGACCTTTAACAAAGAGTTCCTCTGACCTTACTTTCCCAGCCCCGTTATATACTGGGTCCCCCTCCTCCCCCTGCTGTTACTCAAGCCAGCTGCAACCATCCAAAAGTCTGGCAAAGCAGCCCGAAAATCACTCTGGGTGCATTGGGAAAGCCTGAAGCCCTCACAGAAGGACAAAAAAATGAGCCCCAAGGGACCAGAGCTCACTTTACTTCCCCACTAGGCTGGCCAAGGTGCCCCCTCCTATCTCCCATGGCCACACCCCAGCATGAGGCCTCCATTTCCAGGTCACCCATGTACATACACCATAGCAGGCTCACGTCAGGTGTGGCTTACAGTCCACACACACACCTCTTGGCTCTCAAAGGCCTCCTCACAGTAATCCCAAAACAATTAGCACTGCTCCCATCCCTAGAGTGTAGAGCATTCTCAGCACACCCAGGAGACACGCCACAGTGCCCTAGAATCCAACCGGCCACCTCCCCTAGAGACGAGACCTACACAGACTTCAAACAGTGGCTCGAGTACAAGGTATTACACCACAGAAAAAAATCACTCCAAGGCTGGTACCAGGCATACACAGAATATAGAGTTGTTTACATTCAGTGATTTTGAGGGAAAGAAAGAGCAACTCACTTCTAATAAGCACGTATGTGCCACGCACACAACTAGTATGTGGTCCAGCTGAGGCTGGAACTAATCCGTAGGTTCCCAATTCAGTTGGCTTTTCACCGTAACAGCTAGCTGAGAGCTGAGCCTTAAGGAAACAGGGCCCAGAATAACAAAATAGGTGAGGATTGCTGAGTGATGTAACAATGAGGGGTGCCCTTAGGTTTGTGTGCAGGGGAGGCCATCTGTCATTCAGCTTCTAAGGAGACCACTAAAAGGGAGAGGTGAGTAATTAAGACAAACTTCCTTATTTCCCAAGTCTATCAAGGATAGCCCCAAACCAGTACTACAAAATTGGTATCAAAGGTATTGGTCTTTTGGGGAAGCACATACTCTGTGATGACCATGAAGCAATGAATTCAGCTGGCATCATCTACAGACATTGCTCAAGAGGATGTTAAAGTCATCCAAGGACCAGCCCCAAACTCCCCAGAAAGCGGGTTCTCCCCCTAGACCCAAAGTAACCATAATCAGGCAACTCTACTCAACCAAAACTCACTCAAAGGCGAAGAAGAGTGTACATGTCCCCAGGATGAGGAAAAGGGTCAGGTAGAAAATGCCCTTTTGCCGGGCCATCATGACCCGGCCATCACAGCAAAAGGTGTTCCTGCCTGGGAGTTTCTCCCATTTCCGTGTCACCTTCTTTCTCACCACCATCACAGACATGATTGGAATTCCTGCTCCAAAATGGGTTTTGCGATTACACAAGAGAAGACACAGAGGCTGAGCCCAGCTTTGAAATCGCGTTGCCTGCTATTCCTGCCGCTGGGTCAAACATCATCAAAAGTCCAATTGCCAGCCCTAAGAAAAAGCAGAAAAAGAAAAAAAAATGAGGCAAGAATAAAAAAAATACAGTTCAACCCTCCTTTCCCAGAGACAGAAAGTTGAAAACTGACTGAAGGGGTGGGGACGGGGAAGTGGGGAAAAGTTTATTTCCAATTCGTGTTTGTTCTCTACAAGAAGATATGATTAAAGGTTCTCAAATAAGGAAAAGGGCTAGTATTTCCTCTTAAATAAGCCTCTATGCTTCCAATCTAATGCTGATGATCTGATCATCACAGAACCTTGGAACTAGAGAGGATTTTATAGGTGATCGTGCCAATTATTAATACTTTGTTTTGTAAATGAGTAAAATGAGGACCAGAGAGAGGAAATAACTTATCCAGGGCCACACAGCAGCAATGCTGATACTGCTAACTTCAAGTCAAGGGCATGTTCCACTATGCCACAATGTTCTTTCAACATCATTAAAAGGACTCTAAAAATAATAGTAGAGTTTCTGTCCTTATAAAGCCTCCCTCCCTTCCTCCACTTCACCTTCTTTCTTCAATTAGCCACTCGAATATGAATCACAGCAGGGAACAAGTCACCCTCTGGCAGGGCCGGGAGGTTCTGGACGCTCTGTGCACATACGTGCATTGTATTTACACAAAACAGATTTCCCCTCATCAAACCCTCTGCAACTTCCTGAGTCCGGGAAATGAAACAATCTGGCTGGTCTAGCCTAACATTTGTGGGAATCATAATGAAACCACATCAGAGACCTGTAGGTGAAAGGCTGACTTAAGCAGGAGAGATTCTGGAATGGTTGGTGACTGCTGATGGCTGGTTGGGGGGTGGGGAATGGCAGCAGCTAAGAAAAGTCACAAGGGCGCTTTCTGGGACATGTCCTAAGTACCATCTCTACTCAGCATCCTGAATTCCCAGGCCCAGCCTTTCTCAGCCTCTGCCACCCTTCTCCTCCGCTCAGGTGTGGTGCTGTGGCCTCTATTTACCGACACCACATGCCCCACGCTGGCAGGACTGAGGCGGAAGCCTGCAGCCCGACGGACAGAGGGAGAAACAGCCAACTCGAGATCATTCCCGGGCTGGAGAGGGCAAATGTCCAAAAACAGCCTAGGAGCGGAGCAGGGAAACGAGAAGGTAGAAGGCTCGGGGAAGGGGAAGGGGGCCCAGAGGTGCAGAGAACCCGTCCTTTGTGTAAAACTAACCTGGAAGACAATCTCCTCCCGATAAACCGGCCCAGCGGGAGAAGGGAGACCACGAAGGGGGAGCCGGCCTGGAAGAACAAAGATCAAAATCCGTCGGGAAGCAGCGACCGGCTCCCCAGCGGGGGGCCGGAGGCCAGAGGCCGGAGATCGGGGCCGGGCCGCGGGCGCGGCCTCGCGAGGCCCGCCCTGCCTCTGCCACGCCGCGGACCACCGCCCCAGGCAGGTTGGGACGCGCGCCACATCCACACGCACACGCAGCCACACGCTCGTACACACTCACACACGCCCCGCCACGTGTAGTCACCCCGGGCCAGGGGCTCGGCGGCTGCCGAGTTGAGAAGGGCGGTGCCGACGTCCCCGCGTCCCGGCGCAGCGGAAGGGGAGGCAGCCCACCCTGCAGACCAGCCCGGGAGACCCCCGCCCCCACCCCTCGTTACCTGAACCACGGAGACCCAACTCGGCCGGCAGCTGACGGCAGGAAGCGGACGGTCCCAGGGGATCGCGTCGGCCGCCAAAGGTGGCAGCGACTTCTCCTCCCCGGGCCGGGAGGCTGTCTCCTCCTGACAAGGGGCCCCAGTGGTCGGGGCCCTAAACCAGCTGTGGCAACCGCCCACCGCTGGCCAAATGGAACGCTCCTCACGTCACCAGGTCGCTCCAGTAGTTGCTCGCCCTCTATTGGCCGATCGGCCTCGGCGCCTCCGCCCCGGCCGCCCCTATCCCGAACTGCCATTGGATATGTCGAACGCCACTCGACGATGCCTCCGCCCACTCCTCCACCCATCTCCCTGCTGCATGCCCACCTGCCCAGCCACTGCCAGCCTCTCTTTGGGGTCTGAGCGCCAGTATGTGAAGTGTTGCCTTCTATTAATATAGTTACGCAGAGACGGAGGTGAAGGGTAGTGCCGATGAGAGAGTGAAGGGTGGAACCAGCCTGCACACACACACACACACACACACACACACACACACACACACACAGAGTGAGATGCTGAAGCAACGCTAGCTCACAGATCCGGGTGCTCACCCCAAACTAGGTCTGTCGTGGGCCTCTCCAGCCCTACTTGCATTAAAATCAACCACAACTTGAGATTTTACTCTTTATTGGCATAAAAACAAGTCCTCTGCCTCCCAAGTCTCATTCAGTAGCCAGGGACCCCATATCTGTCCCAGTCACCCTAGCCTGCATCTCTAAGGCTTTCAAATCAAAACACACAAACAAGCATAAAAAGCATGTTGTAAAGGATAAATGTCCCAAGAACATATTATCATTTTGCAGACCTAAAACAACTAATTGACATTAATGGAGTTAAAGAAACTCCACTGAGAGGACATAAATTCTTCCAGGTAGGTAATGAAGTAAAGATTGCCAAAAAGTTTGTAAATTTTTATTCTGTTTGGAGAGTTTATGATAACCAAGGGGAGAATCTAATGCAGAATTCCCACCCACCAACCAGACTGATTCTTTCCTTCTGCCACCCAGCTCTGCATTACTGCCACCATGAGCCACTACTACTGAGCTGAGTGAGTTGCATGCATTAAAGGTTTGAGATTGGGCTGGGCGCGGTGGCTCACACCTGTAATCCCAGCACTTTGGGAGGCCGAGGCCGGTGGATCACCTGAGGTCAGTAGTTCAAGATCAGCCTGGCCAACATGGCAAAACCCCGTCTCTACTAGAAATACAAAAGTTAGCCGGGAACAGTGGGACTTGCCTGTAGTCCCAGCTACTAGGGAGGCTGAGGCAGAAGGATTGCTTGAACCCAGGAGGTGAAGGTTGCAGTGAGCCAAGATCATGCCACTGAACTCTAGCCTGGGCGACTGAGCAAGACCCCGTCTCAAAAAAAAGAAAAAAAGGTTTGAGATTGAGGTGGGGAAACAATTAAACAATTGAGAACCACAGTATTGTATTATAGGGTGACTTTAAAAGACACTAGGTCTGTTTTCATTAGTATGGCTCTTGCCTTCCAAATATAAGAGGAAATATGAGAAAAGGTTGAAGGTGGCATCTCCTTTCCAAGTGTAAGAGGAAATAGGAGAAAAGGTTGAAGATTGGAGGAGAATGCCAACATTACTAGCCTAGGTTTTCCTAAGCATGAGAAAAATTTCAAAGTTTTAGAAATTTGGTATTTGGAATTAGTACAGAAGAGACCGTCAAAGCTCTTCTTAAGGCAGTTGTATGTTAGTTGAAGGACCACACACATAGTCAAGAACTATTTTTCGTTTACAGTATTTGTGTCACACACGATATGAAACAAAAAGCTACATAATAATTACATTTGACACTTTCATGGCACCCTTCAAAACTTTCAAAGGATTTAAAAAACACTAGGTAATTCTGAGATGTGTGGTAATTAATTTTCAAAGGGAAGTTTGTCTTTATAAAGCTTCCATTGTTCCTTAGCACTCATGCTGATTACAATCATCAGTTTATTCCTCATGAAGGGTACGATCAGTATTATTGCCTCCAATTCTCCTGCTTTGAATTCTGGAGGGTGCTGGTATTGCACACACTTGGTATGGGAGGGAGAAGAACTTCCCTAAACCTCATCAGCTCTCTGGATTTCCAAGCCTGCATATATCAGATGCCCTTAGGAATAGTATGGTCACCCCAGCTGCCATCCTTCTGACTATGGAGCAGTGAAAAATAAGCCTCTGTAGCACTCAAACATATTTTGTCCATAGCTCAGGTGCAGGTGAAGCCTGAGGAGTCCTGGAATCGATGTGTCATGGCGACACATTCCTGAGCTCTGCCCCTCCCTGCTCTGGGTCACATTCCCTCTGAGATTAAGTGGCTATGTGAGTCAGGTTTGTTTTATTACAATCTATTATTATTTATGCTCACCACTCAAAGAAAAATAAGGAAAATTTATGTGGACAAATATCCCATAGTACTTCCTTCTATGTAATTACATCATTTTATATAATCCTTAAAGTCTTAATACACACACACAACTAAATTGTGACTATAAAATGAGACTGCTTTTTCCTATTCTTTCCTCTTCTCTTTTCAACAGACTTCCCACTATTTACATCCAAGTCAGTGTTGGCTCTTTTGAAAAGAGGTTATAGGCCCGGCGCAGTGGCTCACATCTGTAATCCCAGCACTATGGGAGGCCAAGGTGGGCAGATCACTTGAGGAGAGGAGTTCGAGACCAGCCTGGCCAACATGGTGAAACCCCATCTCTAGCCGGGCATGGTGGCAGGCACTGATAATCCCAGCTACTCAGGAGGCTGAGGCATGAGAATCACTTGAACCTGGGAGGCAGAGGTCGCAATGAGCCTAGATCGCTCCACTGCACTCTAGCCTGGGCGACAGAGCGAGATTCCGTCAAAGAGAGAAAGAGAGAGAAGGAAGGAAGGAAGGAAGGAAGGAAGGAAGGAAGGACGGAAGGAAGGAAGGAAGGAAGGAAGGAAGGAAGGAAGGAAGGAAGGGGGTTATAGTCATGTGATGAGCACTAGAAGCACCACAAAAAATCAAGGTATAGCCTTCCAATTTATAAGACAGCTCCTTGTGTTATCATATATGTTCTGGAGTATTTGTTTAAAAATACCTGTCTCCATATTTATGCTTTGCGTGTGCGTGTGTGTGTGTGTAGGTGTGTGCAGGTGTAGGTGTAATGTGCTGTTTGATCCTGAGTGCCACTACTGGGTTGAAGTTTTCCTGGTAGTGTTGCTTCAAAGACTCTCTTCTGTAACCATCCGGAGACCCATTCAGTACTACACCCAGGAGCAGACATAAAGCGTCAGCCCTCATCCTGCTTTTGAATTCATGATAGCTCCTTTATTCTCTATTTTCTGTAGCCTCAAACTTGTCATGTCACCTTGCCCTCCTCCCCCCACACACGGCCCTTTCCACCCCACCTCTCTGACTTGCACATCTCTTTCTGCTTTCTGGCTATAAATATATGTGTGTGTAGAATGAATTGATGAGCAAAAGAATGAACCATGGAATACCCTACCCACGCATGATGAGCTAGTATTCTTAAGCAACATCTGTTTCTCTGAGGCCTGGGCTGCTATCACTGACATAGAAGAGCCAGGATGGTAGGTAGCTCAGAAAGCACATAAGCCTTATGGCCAGACAGAGCTAGGTTCAAATCCTGGCTCTGCTACGTAATAGCTTGTATAACCTGTGGCAAGTAATTTATCCTTTCTGAGACTATTTCTTCATCTGTAAAATAAAGCTAATACCTATTTCACGGAGTTATAAAGGGAATTGTGTGCTAACTGTCTGGCATGGAAGAGAGACACAGTCAATGCTGTATGTTATAATGCCATCTCCATTACTGCCCCCTCCCACCTCCCTCCCTTAGCCACCCTGCTGACTGGGGTAGAGAGGTAGAAAAAATGAGACCCATTCTTCACTGTATAGAGTCCTTGTCATCCATGTGCCACTACGTTTTCATAGCCTCTAAATTCATCACTGAATTGAATCCTTATCTGACTGGGTTTCCCAGTCCCCTACTCCACCCGGGACTGGGGAAAGCCTGGATAGTAATCTCTTTCCAGTAGAATGGCTGATCCTTAGCCTCATCTTCTCAAGTAAATCATCGACATTCCTGCCACGTTATCTGTTTCAACAGGCAAAAGGTAAATGGGATTGCTTTCACTGAGCACCTCCTATGTTCACAGCCCTGTGCTGAGATTGTTGGCTTCTCTTGGGAACTGAGCAGCACCTTAAAGACGTCCTTGCATGGCCAGGCACAGTGGCTCATGCCCGTAATCCCAGAACTTTGGGAGGCTGAGGTGGGTGGATCACCTGAGGTCAGCAGTTCAAGACCAACCTGACCAACATGGCAAGACCCTGGCTGTAATAAAAACACAAAAATTGGCTGGGCTTGGTGGCAGGTGCCTATAATCCCAGCTACTTGGGAGGCTGAGGCACAAGAATCGCTTCAACACGGGAGACAAAGGTTGCAGTGGGCTGAGATTGTGCCACTGCACTCCAGCCTGGGGGACAGAGCAAGACTCCATCTCAAAAACAAACAAACAAACAAAAAAGATACTTTTGTACGAAAGCCAAGCATGCAGAAAGCCCTCTCCCCCCCCCCACCGCCCACACCACACACACACACACACACACACACACACACACACACACAAACAGCCTGGGATGGCCAGGAAAGTGTTTATCACAATACACCTGAACTGCCCAAACCCAGGTCTCTGTTTCTGCCTCAGATGCATGGCTGCTCCCACTGGTTCCCAATTTGACTTCATCTCTAGACTGTGGATTTCTGACTCTGCCTGGGATGGCTTTAGGTCCTATGCTTGAACCCTCAACACCAGCCCTAAGACAATCCTCTCATTAAAAAGAATCATAACAGCAATAGAAACCATTTATTGGGGACCTCATCTGAGCCAGAGATTGTAGTAGGTGCTTTATACATTTAGATTCTCAGATTACGGTCTAAACTTGATGTGCAAGTGAGAGCATCTGATACTGACCTGGCACAACCCTAGTCTCTGACTCCACCCAGCTCTCTCATTCCAAGAGCTGACCTCAATCACTGTGCAGTCCAAAAATAGAACCAGTTTATCAGTCAATCATGAAGTATGTATTAAGCAGCCACAGTTTTCTCAGCCTGTACTAGGCAATATGGGAAATACCAAGGAAGTATATGACGTGATCCCAGCCTCCAAGGAACTTAAAATATTCTAGGGGTAAAAAGACTTGTG